ACTACCCAGCTATTTATCTTTACCCGAATTGCTAAGAACGTAAAAGACGGGATTTGAAAATTTCTAGAAGGCGTCTGGCATGATCTGTGAAGATTTTCAATGCCGAAGTGAAGAACATCTCCGCGGAGAGGGATATACAACGCATAAAGGGATTAACTCGGAATTTTCAGCGGCCGAAAATTTCTCGTGGCTTTCACAACATGCAATTGCATAAAAATTCTATCACACATTTTTTTTCTTTATGTGATACATACAAAAGAATCTATTCAAACCAGCTGGATGTGTATATATACCTCGCTGACCCTGGAGGATCGCCCCGCCACATTATAGTACATTCAAAATAAGACCTTAATGCAACTTAAAATAGACAGACACATCCATATTCTTTTTTTATACCACACGTGGTGCCATGAGAATGTCGTCGACCTTCCGGGGAAACCCGATGATTACTCAGCATATTTTGCCCGCTCTTGGCAGACGTTTGGGGACTAGAGGGCAAGGCATCTTTAACCATTCTGTCGTTCCAAGCTGGATCCAAGATTCATCTCCAAGTTTTTGACCCCAGATCTGTGGAGAAGATACCTATCATTGGACAATCTATTGAGAATGACGTGTGGAGAGGTCTCGGCAACCTTAGCAATCGTTTGCGGAAGTCGACATGCTCTCGTTCAGCGGTTCAACTCTATACGGGAAAATATATACATCCCATCGAGCCGGGTAAAAGGGACTACTGCCATTAGATAAGCTCAATTGCGGGTGAGTCAAGCGCTAATCGATGATACATAAACCAGTTGCGCGACACCTCCGTATTAAGTAGTGACGTGTGCGATATGCAATGGCTGTAAAGTGCAAAGCTCGATGGATAGTAGAAGAGGCGGAGATGTTCTCACTTGAGCATTCTGACGAGACATTAGTCGATTTCGACTTTAGTCTCTCAATTCCAGCTCACCCTCCACGATGCGGTTCAAGAAACGCAATTCGTCTGATACCTCGACGCTTGGGGAGGTCTTGAGTTCCACTGGACTTAGCCAGCTGCCCATGCTGCACCTACCACCCGAGCTGCGGTACAATTTGCTCTGCGTGATGGGCGAGTTCGTAGGGACGTTTCTGTTTCTCCTCTTTTCTTTTGCGGGTACACAGGTTGCCAATACCCCTAGACCGCCAGATAACGCTCCGCCGAATACTTCTAATTTGTTGTATGCGTCGCTTTCTTTTGGGTTCGCTTTGACGGTGAATGTCTGGGCATTCTTCCGAGTCACGGGCGGTCTCTTCAACCCGGCGGTATGGACATCACCACAGAGGAATGGGAATATTTGCTGACATTCATCAGGTTACTCTTGCTCTCTGCCTGACTGGTGGCATGCCCCCTTCCCGGGGGCTGTTTGTATTCCCTGCGCAATTGGTCGCCGGAATTGCTGCAGCGGGCGTGACGAGTGCCCTATTCCCGGGCCCGCTAAACTGTGAGACCCGACTCGATGGTGGCACATCAATTTCACAAGGACTCTTCATTGAGATGTTCTTGACGGCCCAGCTGGTGTTTGTCATCATCATGTTGGCGGTGGTGAAGCACAAGTCCACCTATTTAGCTCCAGTGGGAATTGGTCTGGCTTTCTTTGTTGCAGAACTGATTGGTAAGTAAATTGTTACTTCGCAACGTACTGTGCTGACCCTTCACACCAGGTACTTACTATACCGGAGGATCTCTCAATCCTGCTCGCTCCCTCGGACCGGATGTGATAAATCGCTCATTTCCAGGATACCACTGGATCTATTGGGTCGGTCCTCTGCTCGGGTCCCTTCTTGCCTCTGGGTTCTACCATATTCTTTGTATTGCGCGCTGGGAGAGGATCAACCCTGGTCAGGATGACAACGAGGAAGAGGCAGCCAGAAAGGAGTCATTGATCGGTTCGGAGCATACCATCACCCCCCATGTCCCTCAAACCTCATTCCCCAGAAGAGAGGTTCCATCCGATGAGCATGTTTAATGCTCCATTGCCCGAACGACTGTTCTGTGGAAACCTGGCGATTGCTTTCGCCTAGATGAAGATAATTGCAGCAAGCTTGGGTGCGCTGAACGAATTTCCCTATAGGAGAGACGATGAATGGTACAGGAGCTCAATATTTCAGACTGGGAAGCCCAGAATAGCTCATCTGTCAAGTAAGTGTGGAAATTGAATTGGAAGCATATGGAGCAACTGGAATCAAACATTGAAGTTGGAATGCTCGGCAAATCTAATCAAAATCAAGTTGGCTGGGCTGAGCTCGTGTGACCCAACAGGGTGCAGTTGTGATTGTGGGAATCTGTGCTGATCAACCTCAGCGCCAACATTCTCAATAGTCGTGAAACGTGAAGTGGCCACGCATGCTTCACGTTAGCACTGAAATTTCAAACGCAAGGGCCACAATCACGCTGCACTGTTTCCTGCAGCGAACCGCGATTATTGGACTCCCCACCAATGGTTGGTCAGTCTTAGCTTTGGCGATGAGTTTCAAGATCCACATCCCTTGACTTGACTCCAAGTTGATTTGACATTTAAATCATCCATCCCCGCCATGTCCGGACATAGCATGAGTTGAGACGGTCACAATGAACTCGCAACCTGTCGACCCCGAGGCAGTCGCACCGGTCGCGACCGGCATGGGGGCAGATGCCGGGGACGTGCAGTTGCTGGGTATGATAGTGTGCTTCCTTTCGTGGGAAATATTAGTCGCTAATACCCTTTCTAGCACGGATGGGCTATAAACAAGAGCTTCGTCGGCAGTATTCCACCCTGCAGGTTTTCGCAATCGCATTCAGCATCATGGGCTTGGTGCCCTCAATCGCATCGACGCTCTCCTTCTCTCTTCCCGCGGGTCCGGTTGGCATGGTCTGGGTAGGGGTCGAATCCCCGTGAGTCTGGCTGTGCTGTTGATTGACTGGGATTACGGAATAGGGATGGTTCACAGCGAGTATATTCATCTTGTTAGTTGGGTTGGCAATGGTAGGAACCTTCATTGGGTTATCTGTGGAACTATCGCACTGATATCACCTAGGCTGATCTCGCGTCTGCCATGCCAACAGCTGGGGGACTGTATTGGTGGACACATCATTTCGCCGGACCGAAGTGGAAGAGCCCATTGAGTTTTTTGATCGGATATAGCAACACATTGGGTTTGATCGGTGGCATCTGTTCGGTGGACTGTGAGGATGATCCATGCCCATTACCGTCGATAACATCACTTACTCTTGTCGTACAGATACCCTCGCACTCATGATCCTCTCCTGCGTCTCGATATCACGTGGAGATGGATGGTCCGCCTCGCGCGGCGTGATCTATGCTGTTTACGTCGGCTTAATCTTCTTCCACGGCCTATGCGGCTCCTTAGGTGGACGCCTAATGCCGAAAATCCAGATATTTTGCATCTATATCAACATTGCCCTCGTTGTTGCGACGGTAATTGCATTGCCAGTTGGCAAAGTGACGCGTGGTGGGCCCCTCAACTCTGGCCATTATGTTTACGGCCATACCGACAATGAGACTACATGGCCAGCCGGATGGGTATTCATGATGGCCTGGCTCGCTCCGATCTGGTCAATTGGCTCATTTGATTCTTGCGTGCACATGAGCGAAGAAGCCATGCATGCATCCAAGGCTGTTCCTCTTGGAATCGTCTGGTCGGCGGGCTCTGCATTTGTGCTTGGCTTCCTGGTGCTGTCTGTCATTGCTGCTACGATGAACCCGGATGTGAGCGCGACAATTAGCACCAAGTTCGGTCAGCCAATGGCTCAGATCTACTACGACGCATTAGGCCGAGACGGTGCTTTGGCATTTATGGCTGTACTCTGCCTCGTTCAGTTCCTTATTGGTCTCAGCTTGATTGTCGCTGCTTCTCGCCAAGCATGGGCTTTTTCTCGCGATGGTGCACTGCCATTTTCTAGGTTCTTCCGCCACGTCAGTAAACGCATCCAGTATCAACCGGTGCGCATGATATCTGGCCTGGTATTTATTTCGATTCTGCTGGGCCTGTTATGTCTGATCAACTCAGCAGCTGCCAACGCCCTATTCTCACTATTTGTGGCAAGCAACTACCTATCATGGGGAACCCCGATCTTTTGCCGCTTAGTCTGGGGCGAGGACCGGTTCACCCCGGGGGAGTTCTATACCGGCCGCTTCAGCAGGCTCATTGCTTGGGTGGCCGTTATCTATCTTCTTTTTGGTGTTATCTTGTCTATGTTCCCGACTGAGGGTCCCAACCCAACTTGTACGTATTTGAATACTAGAAGATCCCTCGACCGGTTGGCTAACAATTTACTTACCGGTAGCGTCGAACATGAACTACACCATCGTAATAAACGGCTTTGTTTGGTTCGGTTGTATGGCTTATTATTTCCTTTTTGCACGGCGATGGTACACAGGACCCCAGATGACTGTCGACGAGAGTAATTCTATTGCCGCAGATAATATCATTGTCGCTGCAGTTCCCCGTGCGCTGCCCACCGATGAACTCGCATCTTTCAATCATAAGAAAGAATGACGCTTTTTTCCTGGATCTCTGCCTTCGTTACATGATGACCCCTGTCATAGATCCCTTGCAATTGGATTTGTCCTTTCATACCTTTCCCGCTAGGGGTTTCAACGCACACGAATATATTCGATTCCCCATAAAAACCTCTGCCTATCTCTCGGTTTTTCCTTACTACATACATGTATGTATGGTCACCTAATTCCACTCAGGCTGATTAGTTGAAAATACCAAAATTAAGTTGCCTCGGTCTTCAGATAAAGGAAGTGTATTTTCTACGTCATATTCCAGATTTATCATCTTCAAATTCTGGTGCTATTGTCATTTCATTGTTTCCGCTGTCTTCACCTCTAGCCCATTGTCGTCCTCTTCAGATTCCACGATTCTAAATGGTAACAACCCCTCCAAGTCATCAAACCTCTCATCACCGGGACTGCGAAAGCAGTTTTGAGAGTGTTATCCAAACGTTGGGCCAAGGAGTCAGACAAAGCAAGCCCATGGAAGACCCCTATGATAAAGCCGTCGTTCTTGGGCTACGATGGAGCAATGATGACCTGGACTTGGCTAAACCTCAAGGTGCACTTCTCGAGACATTCCGGACACAATGCAGATTCGAGACGGCTAGTTTGCTTATCCCCTCTAACTCTAGGGAGGATGCGATGGAGGCGATATATGACACAGTTGATAAACTCCGTCAGAAGTACGAAATGGATCGTGATATTGGCTATCGCAATCGGGGCACGTTATTTGTGATCCATTTTATCGGCCATGGCGTATCTGAATCAGAATGGAAGTATGAAATCTGGTAATCCCTAACCATACGCATCCATTGTACCCGTTCAGTATCATTAATATCGACACTCAGTGGAACCCGCAGCCCTGATGCCGTTAGAATCCCATGGTCTTCCATTTATCTTGACATGAAGGCAGACGTCCTCGTTCTCATTGATACCTCCTACTCTGGAAGCTTCCTCCAGCCATGCCACAGCCTGGGAAACATACTGCGGTACAGTGAACGTAACGCTGAGTACCTGTTCTCGACAGGCAACGAGATCTCTGATCAAAATGGTCCCACTTACGATGTTAACAACAATTTCACGACCCGTCTGACAGAACTTCTATACACTGCGTCACCAGCGCCGGTTACCGTCGTACAACTCCACGAAGCTCTCTGTACCCAGGCCAATGACCCACGTACCAAGCTGCGCTATACTCCTCAGTATATGGACTGCAGCAAACCAACCATCATTCTCCAGCACCTCGATAATTACGTGTGGAGAATAGAAAATCCCACATCCAAGGCACAAATACCTATCGGGCGTGTCCTTGTTTCCGTATCTGTTCGAGGGAATACCGTTCGCGGCCAGGCCAGGCAGTGGCAGGCGTCGCTATCGAAATTGGACACCGAGGTGACCATTGAAGGTGTTTTTGACCTTCAGGGGTATTTTCTGTGCCTTCTATCAATGCCTATCTCGTTGTGGAATAGTTTTCTACATCCAGGGTACAAATTCATGAACTATGAGGAGTCTCACAACCAACTGGCAACGGATCCTAGCGCAAATAGCCTCTTTGTAGCCACGCTTCTAGAGAGACCGAAGGATCCAGCTTATGTTGATTATGTCATGCTCTCTGACAGAGGGGTGACCTGGCGACGCGATATACCGATGATCTAGCCCCTCGCTGTGGAGGCATCTTTATGCTGTAATGGAGGAACGGATATTTGTCTTTTTATGGTCCTCACTGCTAGAAACCTATGCAAGGTTATATCCGCTATCGGTGGCTTTATTACTATTGCTTAATCGAATCTCACCATTCGCTCTCCACATCGCTTGTAATGGCACTTTTTAAGTCATGTCTCTGTTTACTTTACATATCTGAGAAAGGCCGCTAGCCTCAAAGATTTAGTGAAAATATGTGTTCAATTGGTTATAAAAATGTTCTAGAACATGATTATTGGTCATGGGACCATCATCATATTGAATGATTTGGTGTAGTCGAAATGGTCGACCAGAATGCAAAGTGTACAGCCGAGGTATATTTACAGCTTCAAAAGAACGCCGGTATTAAACCTTCCCAGATGCGAGGAAAGTGACGAACAAAAATTCGAGCAAAGTCGTGAACAAGAGGCATAGTGGATATAATGCCTGGCATCAAATCCTGAATCAACGGAGTAATGTATCAACACTTTACAGTGCAACCATAACACCGAGGATACCGGCCATACCGGCAGCAACAGCGCCGACAGCAGTGGGACGAGCGAAGGCGGCATTGTCGGTGACGGAGGCAGAGCCAGAAGGAGATCCGGTGGATGTGCTGATTATGGTGGTGGACTGGGTAGCGGTGGGGTTACCATCGGAGTCAGTCTGGGTAGTCTGAGCTGAAACCGCGGTGACAACCCGGCTGGTAACCTGAGAGGCGATGGAGCTGGCTTCGGAGGCGGCGGCAGAGCCAAGGGATGAAGCCTCGCTTTTGGCAGATGAGATGACACCCGCTCCGGCGGTGCTCGCGGCTTCCCCGAGGGAGGTGGCCTTTGAGGCGATTTCGGATCCGAGGGATTGGCCGCCGCCGACGGCAGTGGAGTAGACGCCTTCGACGTCAGAGACGATGGAGTTCACATCAGGGCCGTCTGGGGAGGCGATGGCAGCGGTGGCCAGGAAGAGGACGGAGGAGATCAAAGTGAACTTCATTTTGATGGGTGGAGAGAAAGAAGGTTGTTGGAAAGGTGTTGTTTGGTTTGGGGGAGTGATTTGGATTGTAAATTATGGACTCTGGGGATTGAAATGATAAACTGGAAATCCGGGGGAACACTCCTCTTTATATTTGGTCCATGGGCACTAGTTTCCTATAGATAGAAACATCCGGAGTTTGATTGCGCATGGCTAGACAGCCGAGGCGGCAGTGGCGACATGACCTCAGCCTTGTAGCGATTATCATGTCGATCGTAGGGTCCGTTCAGGGATAGGGGCTAGTATGGAGTACCTGTTTTGTTGTAGAGAACTGGATTGGATATCCCGCTATACGGCTTTGGGCAATGATATCGTCATATCGGGGTCCACTTTGTCACGAAGGCGCAAGTTATGGGGCCGGTTTAACACCTTAGTCCCTCACCCCCCGGAAAGCACCTGAAAGATCAAGACGTGCATGTTCTCGCACGTTCTCGCATAAACTTGATTCGTTTAGTTCACGGGCAATGCACCATAGCCCACGGCCAAAAAAAAACTTCGCAATGCTTTGGGTATTTTGCTGCCTTGGCGGCCCCCGGTACAAGTACCATCCTGACACATAATTACCCTCCTAGGGGTGGCTTGGATGAAGATCTTTACGGACCCTAAGTGACGTGAGTGGTCGACAATGCTATGAAAGCGAGTCTTACCAAGACAGTGGGTCAGCTCTTGTGTTGGATAAACCAGTCTCGGCGCCCGTCATTATAATTGGAACAGTGAACAGCCCACTCCCAATTTCCAAGTATATCGGCCCCTGTTGTATTTTCAGCTGGCCAAGGGTAGCCAAGGACTTTAATGACGCGTCATGTAACAGGTTTGAGCGCCGTTATTGCGAAGGGGCAGCGAAGTAGCCTAGTGTATCATGACTGGTTGTGGACTCAGTTGCCGGGGGCGATATCCGCTGACGGCCTGAGGCAGCCACATCACGTGTAGTATTAAAAAAAGAAAACAGGGAAAATGCCAGAACGCCAAAAGATCGTCATCGAGGAACATGAGGATTGTTCACATGAACCCTTTCATTAATGATTATAATTTAAATTATTGAATGCATATGTCCAACGATGCAACATAACACGTATATCACGCTATGAACTGACCATAGACCTGGATGATGCCTTCCCAACCGCCTTTATGGTTCGATTCACGGGGATTGCTCTTTCCATCAAACACCATCACGTCTGTCATGCGCGTGCTGATCGAGTACCAAACCAGATTCTGAGGGTTATTCGTAACCCGCATCATATTGGTTTGGCAATTCCCGTTGCAAGGTTCATTGTATTTACCATTCCAGTACCCGTCGAAGAAGGCCCAGGCAGCTGAGTTGTACAGCGCGATATTAGATCCGCCATCGACATTCGTAGCTATCGCAGTGCGACACTTTTCGTCATTTGCAGAACACCACGAGAAATCAGGGTCACCGTACTTGGCGACGGCTGTCCATGGCGCTGGCGCAGCCTGGTACTCACCCTGACCTTGCATATACGGTGTTTCTGTTTGTAGAAGACCCGCAAAGACGTTCTGAGCGTTGTGCAAGTTATAGTTATACAACCAGTGATGCTCGGAACCGGTTCCTGTCAACCAGGTACCCTTGGTGGATTCGACCAAGATCCCGCGGCCAGTTGAGATAATAGTGAGAGGTGACTCGCTATCAAGGTTGTGATCGGCGGTCCATCCCCAGAAGTTCTCGATATATGCAGACGAGGTCTTGGTCAGGTGCATTACCATAAACGCAGCCATGCAGTCCTTGGTGTCTTGCGAAGTGCAAGCATTGGAGATACTAGTGTCAACGGTGCCGCCGACCATCGCCATTGTGTTCCAAAGACCGACATCGCCGGGCTGATCACCTGCGGCATTGATTTCAATGATCTTGGCGCCCGGTAGGATCTCGCCGACGGAGAATCGCATGTCCTGAATTTCAATCACACCGACGTCGCCGGGGTTTCCAAGTTGAACGACAGGTCTCGGATTTTTGGAATCCTTGAACTTGTCACCATATCCAGAAATGACAGACCATGCTTCTCCGACAATGCGGGTTCCAACTGGGACAAAAATGGTGTCCGAGACTCGATATACACCGAAGGGGATGTATGTGACCTTGCACGAATCGGCATTTTCAGTCAAGATAGCGTTCAGACCTTTGGTGTCATCAGTCTTACCATCACCTTTCACTGTGTGTCCAGATACGGTCTTGACATTGACAATATCCGCTGTGTGGTAATCTTGATATGTGGGCTGGGCCTTGATAAAGTATTTGTCTCCCACCAGCAAAGGGGCCGGGCGCTTTGTCTGCCAGCTTGCCCCAGTCTGGTAAGTTTCTGGGACGACAGTACCCCAGACCCATGTATCGACATGAGAGGTAGCGGCCAATGTCACCTTGCCCTGGGCATCGACTGCGATAGCGTTCTGAGTATCGTGCTTCAGGTTCTGAATGAGGAACTGGCTATTTTGGTTTCCAGAATCACGGGACGAGTCATAGAATCTGACTACCGGTCCTGTGTTGGTGGAAGTGGAATCCAGAAGCACTAGGCTACCCAATCCATTGCCAGTCATATCAATACCAGTGCCGCAGCTATCAAAGGTTGCCTGTTGAAGCAGCACCGTCCACCCACCTGCCGCAGAGAAAGCTGTTCTGCAAGACTGGAAATATATGTTCTTGAAGTTGACTTGTTGGTTGGAGTTCTTGATCCCGATAACTCCGCCAATGATATCCTACACACTTTGTTAGGATGCTCGTTCTTTTGTCTTGGGCTTTTCTGGATTGCTTACCACATCGGTAACAGCAATTGTTGACCCGGCCTTGATATCGATTCCAGTGTGACCCGTGGAGGATTTTGGCATGCGAATCTTAACATTTGTCAAACCCGATCCTTGGGCAACTCCCCATTGAAGAGCAGTGAAGTGACGGTCCGGCTTGAGCGCAGTCGTATCCAGGACCACGTTCTTCACAAGCGTTGCAAAGCTAGTTTCCGGATTGCCGTTGTGTGAATCGTATCCCATGATGAGATAGTCACCACGGAATCCCGACGCAGCCTTGATGATGGGTGGGTTCAACGGATTGCCAACAATTATCGTACCCACAGTTAGGTTGAGAGTGCTTCCAAGTTGGTACACGCCGCCTGGAAGGTAGACCTGAGCAGGGTAACGCGTGACACCTTGGCCTTTGCGACTGCCGCCCACGCCGTCATCATCTATGGCCTTCTGTAGCTTCGGAGTTTGATCACCAGAACCATCATTGACGACCGAGTAATCCATCACATTGCGGTACACTGGGTAGAGCGATGTTTTAGCGTAGGGAGCAAATCCTGCTCCTTGTTGGTTGTGGTCCTGCTCGTCAAGCCAGTAAGTCTCAGGTGATCTGCTGGTAGGGGCAGCACATGTTTTTGTCGCGGGAGAATGCCCTTTCTCAGATATGAAACTAGACACGTTGGTTAGCATTCAAGGATGCTATGAAAATGTTAAACGACACATACGATGGAGTCGGAACACTGGGTCTTGTCGATTGAGTGTTGGTCTTTGGCGATGGAGTCTTTAGACTTGTTGCGAGAGTATTTGGGGCCGCAAAATTAGTGCTAGCTGTTGTCGTACTTGCATGTTCCATATCTGAGGAGGAACTAGCCCCCTCTGGTGAAGGACTTGCAATCGAAGCATCGGCAGCCTTTGATGGGGATCCCACGGCTGTGCAGAGAGTATTTGCTGCAGCCGACAAAGTCGTGGCACTCGAGTATTGATGAACAGTAGCAGCAGAGAGCGCTTCGGTGAGATCTGCCAAAGAAGATGCAAGAGCCCAATCAAAGAGGTGGTCAATATTTGTCGGGCTTGCATCAACAGTTGCGGATGAAAGTGCATGCGATGAAGATGCACGCACCAAGTGCAGTGGCCAAACAAACCCTGATGAAGTAGACACAATAGCTGCCACTGCCAAATATGAGAAACCCCTCATATTCAATCAACCACAAACCACTACCTCGATCTCGATCTCGAAGTAGATAGAAAAGACCAGGAGAAAAAGGTGGGTGAATAGAGACTAATAAAAATGGTCCTGGTTACATGTCAAGTTTTTCGACAGACACCATGCAGACGATCTTGGAATGCACACAAAGACCACCTTGTTTGAAGAATGTGTGTACACTGGTCGGTACAGGTTCAATGGTCCAGTTGAGAGGGCCGGGGATGATCGACACCCCTTGTAGGAATCGGGATTCGTAACGTCCTGCCAAACTCTCGCAGGCTTATGTCGTCGCCACAACTTGCCCTGTAGTGCCGACTTTCTGGCTTGATGGGATTCCAAGGTAATGGTACAATGTGCTATCCCTCATCCTTGCAGAAGGGGAAGTGTTCAATATCCTTAATCAGGATAAAAAGTCTTGTACTGTGGCGTTAATACTGTGTTCATATTGAACTGGGTACTTTTTCGTCATTTCAACACGAAAGGACTGGAGGCGCGTTGAAGACTTTCAGCTGACGTCTCTTCGTCTGTTCCTTATTTCTTTCATGGATATGTCATAATCACAACTGAACTTCTAGGCTATATCTTGATTCATATCCCTTATGAGCCCTAACTAAGACGCTTACTATAGTTGTCAATAAGAAGTCATGGTTAGAATTTGTGTTATTTGACAGGTTTAGAATGCTCTAGATTCGAGCCACATGGTAATCTGTTGAATGTCAACATAATCAATTTTTCTACCTCACCCCTTGCACTGGGTAAAATGTCCGCAGGTGTTTATATAGACTTCCATGCCAACGGCAGGTATGCAGCATGAAGTATGCTCAAGTGCCTTGGCTATCTGTGCTATGTTATGGTAGACGAGACTAAGTTTCCGATGATTGGGACACACTATATATACTTGCAGATATATATATTCAAGCACGGAAAATTGATAGATCATCAAATGAAGTCGTTAAACCACGACTTATGATATTCCAGGGGTTTAAAGTGTTGCAAGCTGTCATATTTATCTCTGCGCCTCTTATGACTTGTAAATATAAAAGGAGCTAGAGGTTGCTTGTCTACATCCCTTAGTACAATCATCAAAGACGGAGAATTGCCCATGGGCCAAATTGTTAGAATATGTTTCTTCCAGACTGCTAATGTGTCTTTCTATAGCAATTAAATGATGATATCAAATATAGTGTCTTGTGGCGAGAAACCTGCAAGTCCGAGATTTGCGTGGGATAGATTTCCGATGAGGCGACACCCGCAAACAATACCTCATGACTGGCGGAAAGGGCTTAGAATCCCATTGAGTTGATGATTTTCTACATTGTTGACCGCGCGAAAATAAAGTCCTTGCTGATTGCCGACCGTGGTTCACCAGTATACCCCAATCACGTCTCCGTGAGCTCATATAGCCATTATGATAGCCCAATTTGACATGGAAATCCCGAGAACATTAGACGTGAGACCTTGTGTGGTTCAAAATTCTTTCACTGAACAAAAGATTTACAATCTACAAATTCATTTACTACCAAACAATCGGAGGCTAGATGTTGGCGAAGGAGTGAAAAGTGAAACCCACGCGTCGCCTTCATGTCGGTAGCATCCACCAGCAGTCCCAACGAGGACTCGGACCCAGAAAATACAAGCTCGTCCGAAGTTTGGCAGGATGCACCTCAGACCAGCCCACAAGACGAAGAGCCAACACCGCGGGTGCGATTTCGATCAAATGCGGGTTTTATGCAGGGGGCTCGACATAACCCGCCGGCACAAGCTCCCCGGGAAGAATGGGAACATTCTCACAGTCAAGGCCTGCCCCATAGACCGACAATGCCATACTCCCATGAAACCGAAGATATTACCGATACGCCGCTGCAAGATCGCGAGTCACAGCCGGGTGAGACAGAAGGTGTTGAAAGGAAAGACCAAAAGAAGCCACCGGAAGATGAAAAGAAGGAAGATGAGAAGGAGGAAGAAGAGAAGGAGCCCGAGACACCCGAGCAGCGATCCACACGGGAGAAATGGCGAGCCATGACCAGGAACTTCAGACAGAAAGCATCAGAGTTCGGTGACCGTCTGGGCCGCCCACAGGCTGAGGGAGACGACTTATCAGCCGGGAAGTATCACGCAGACTGGGCGACTGGCGGTGCAGTTGCTCTATCTGATATGACAGATGACAAGCACAAAAGTGTGGAAGCGAAGCAGCGGAACCAGAAAGGGACCAGCTCCGAGGCTCATCGTCTGGTGCGAGATTTGACCCAAGATCATTCCCAAAAACGCCGCAAGGGTCGTGGGAAGCCTTACCCTCACGCCGGGAACGAGTTTAAAGAAGAAGAGAATGAGACAGGAGCAGATGCGAGCTTGAGATATCGCTCTGGCGGAGGTGGGATCCTGTCGCAGTTGATCAAATTGCAAGGTGGTCAGCAACAAGGTGCTGGAGGCCAGTCTCGAACCTCAACTGACTCATCCCGCAGCACAGAATCCGCCCCCACCGGGGCCCCAACCCCAACAGGGGCCCCAGCTGGAGCTCCAGCCCCCAAGAAGGGAAAGCCACTGAAGTGGTACAAAAAGCCCCAAAATACGTCCACCTCGACCTTGATTGGCGGGAGCGCTGAAAGTTTCAGTGGAGCGAGCACCCCTGTTTCGAGCGAGATCCTGTCACAAGCCTCGAAGCGTCGCGACAAGGAGGGTGGTGGTGCTGCCGCTGTTGGCGGTGGTGGTGGTGGTGGTGGAGGTCGCAATATGCGGCTTGAGGATGAAATTCGAGTTACAGTGCACATTGCAGAGATTATCTGCCGGCAGCGGTATATTATGCAGCTCTGCAGAGCGTTGATGTTATTCGGTGCTCCCACACATAGACTTGAAGAGTACATGCAGATGACCTCAAAAGTGTTGGAGGTTGACAGCCAATTCCTGTACCTGCCAGGCTGCATGGTCATGTCGTTCGATGACCCTTCTACTCGCACGACGGAGGTGAAGCTGGTTCGTGTAGCCCAGGGAATTGATTTGGCTCGCCTATCGGACACACATCTCATCTACAAGAATGTAATCCATGATGTGATCGGCATTGAAGAAGCAATCCAGGAGCTCGATTCAGTCATCAAGAAAAAACCTCAGTATCACAAGGTCATCGTTGTCTTGGTGTATGGGCTGGCCACTGCAACTGTGGGGCCTTTCGCCTTTAGTGCCAGGCCGATTGACATGCCAATCATTTTTCTCAATGGTATTCTTGTCGGTTTAATGCAACATGTCGCCGCGCCTCGCTCAGTGTTGTATTCGAATGTCTTTGAAGTGACATCGACAGTGGTGACGTCCTTCCTCGCCCGAGCCTTCGGCAGCATCGCCATTGGAGTTGTGGATGGCAAACCACAGTACCTCTTTTGCTTTTCTGCCATCGCGCAATCATCGATTGCATTGATATTGCCAGGTTTCCTTGTTCTTTGTAGCAGCTTGGAACTTCAGTCCCATCAGATCATCGCTGGCTCGATTCGGATGGTCTACGCTCTCCTCTTTTCGTTGTTCATTGGATATGGAATTACCGTTGGCACAACCATCTATGGGCTGATAGACAACAATGCGGTATCCGACACTCAATGCCCAGAAAAGGGGGCCTTTAAGAATCCGTATGTTCAACGGTTCCCATTCGTCGCAATCCAGACAGTCTGGCTTTTGATCATCAACCAAGGAAAATGGAAACAGCTCCCACCCATGAGCATCATCGCACTGGCGGGCTATATTAGCAACTACTTCAGCACGAAGAAACTGGGATCGAACTCTCAGGTTGCGAACACAGTCGGCGCGTTTGTCGTCGGTATCATGGGAAACATATACAGCCGGTTCTGGCATGGCCACGCTGCGACCGCTATTCTGCCAGCCATTTTCGTTCTAGTTCCATCGGGACTTGCTGCGACAGGTTCTTTGATCTCGGGTGTACAGTCTGCGGATGAAATTCGTAACAATGTCGGGTCTCATGGTGGTGGCGCCGGTTCAGGGCCCGGGGCTGGCTTATCGTCTGGTAATTCAGTATTTAGTCTAGGGTTTGGTATGATCCAGGTAGCTATTGGTATCACGATTGGTTTGTTCATTTCCGCGCTGGTGGTTTATCCATACGGTAAGGCCCGCAGCGGACTGTTTAGTTTCTAGGCTATTCGTTGCTATGCCGTTGGAACTTGGTTTCTAGCGTGTTGATATTAGGATAATATCTACAACAAAAATAAAGAACATACATGTATCCCATCCAACGATTACCAAAGTTCTCAGGTGAACAGTTCCTATCTATAGGGAAAATACTAGGCATTTCTGGGAAACTCAACTGTTCCATGTATTGTACTTATGTCAAAAGAGCCTTGATCGTATTGACTTACATACATGGTACACCCAAATAGGTATTGATTGAAATTAGAGTAATCTGCGTTCTATATGATGATTCAAATGATGGGTTTAAATGGCAATGAGCTATTAGCGGCAGTGTAAATCTACGTCCCAATTGATAGAGGTTCAAAGGTAAATGCCGGTGTTTTATGTTGAATAGGCCGGGGTTATAACTGACGAATGCTGGCGAGGAGGTATATTAGGAGATCGGAAAGCAGTGTCGCTGATCATTATTGACTTCATAAAATGGTATACCCTATCTTCAAAATTCTTTCCAGTTGATACTTTGCTCCCACGCATGTGCAAGACGCAAGATAGTCAGCTCATCATGCCACCTGCCCACAATCTGCATACTGGCGGGCAACTTGACGTTTTTATCCCCATTCGCAGGCACAAACCCGATGGGGATTGCTAGAGCTGGGTGTCCAGTGGCGTTGAATTGGCATGTGTTTTCTGTCATCCCTTTCGCTGCTTCTATTTGGACCACCGGCATTGCCTCGGCAACTGGGAGGCGGTTTGCAGGCAAAAGGGTCGTGGGCATTATTATCACATCCACTGAAGACAGAACATTGTCATACAGATCTTTTAGCTTCCGCATAATGTTCACAGCCTTTGGATATACGGTTCCATAGCGCTGCCAGGCGAACTCGCCACTGAGGAGGGCTTCCTTGCTCATAATGCTCATCTAGGACACACATAAGCGGCGTCAGAGAGAGATGTGTGCTGCTCAAGGGGCCTGGAGTTACCTTGCTGATCACATCGGATGTGTAGGGAAGGCCCCTCTTTTCAAACAAATCTGTCAACATCATTTGTCGTCGACCTGTCGCTTGTCCCATCATTCCCATATGATTCCCCATCTTGCTGACCACAGAATACACCGATCTGCCATGAGTATGAAGAGGAACGCTAACTTCCTGCACGCTAGCCCCCAGCTTTTCAAAGACATTGACCACCATTCTGAATTTTTCCTCTATATTCGGGTCAGTGTGAGTAGGCAGACCTTCCTTCAAAATGCCTATTCTCAGCCCCTTGATTCCAGCAGCACTACCTTTCCTCAACAAGTGAGAGTAACGTGGAACGTTTGTAGGAAATGGAATCCCCGCTCCCGAGCGATCATCCAAGCCATCGGCACCAGCAATCGCCTCCAACAGCACCGCATTATCCATACATGTGGTTGTGATTGGCCCAACATAATCCAAGCTCGCATCATTGCTCGCTATGCCCGTATATGGTACAAGCCCAGCTGTTGGCTTGAACCCATATAATCCCGCTAGGGCAGCCGGAATGCGAACACTGCCTCCTTGGTCACATCCAATGCCCATATCCGTGGCCCCGCTTGCCACAAGCGCCGCCGTGCCTGAGCTGCTGCCTCCTACTGAGTACCCCCGCGCGTACGGATTGTGCACAGGGCCAGTTGCTGCGGTCGAGCTGACAGCCCCACGCGACAGGTTCTCACATACGGCTTTACCAGTGATAATGCCACCGGCGTCAAGAATACGCGACACCACCGTGGCATCAGTATGCGGGACCCAGTCGCGGAAGGTGTCGGTGCCGAGTAAACATGGTACGCCGGCGACGGAAATATTGTCTTTCAGGCAGAGAGTTTTTCCTTCCAGGGCATCAGAGCTTGGGGAAATAGACGATAGATCGAAGCGCCAGGCCCATGCGCCGAGGGGGTTATCGGCTGGCTGAGGGAAGCGGATATTCTGCCTCGGGCTGGTGGTCTGGTCTGGTTCGGGTTGGTAATCTGCGGCGATGTTGATCAGTTGGCGCTCCAGTTGAAACCCGACCCTACTTGCTCACCATCCATGGCAGCGACCAGCTCTAATGTGTTTTGGGTTCGCACAAGAAGCGTTTCGTAGTCTTCAATCTCGTGCTCCGGGATTTTCAATGACAGCCCTTTTGCCAGGGAAAGCATCTCGTCACGAGTCGGCGTCATGGTGTTAAACGACTGTCAATATTGATGTGTAGTGTGATGAAGCTTGTTCAATTGCGATGCCATTCTTGAGCTGCTTGACTACAAACACCTTTGTGTCAAATCCTTATCATGGCCAAGGATTAAGCCCCGAACTCGCAATCCAATAGCACCTCTAAGAGCCAGCTGCCGGTCAAGAAGTGGAGTTCGTTTGATCAAATCCCGGTAACAGGGGCGACATCCGCTATTTCCACTCTCGTCGCTTTGAATTCCGCGATTTTGCTTGGAGCTTGGCATTTGGTGCGCATCGGAGGCTCCGATGAACCCCCGCTTGATATCGGATATCAACCGAGATAACATGTCTGTAGCTTAATCCCGAGGTCATTTATTCAGTTATGATTTCCCTAAAATCTACACTCAATTGTATCTGAGTTCATCATTTGACATACATCATTTCACAATGGTTCACATCGATCCAAAGTATCAAGTCCCTCGGGACTTTGAGGGTTTCGGTGAGGAGGGCTTCGACGCTAAATGGCCCAACGGCGCTCGCATTGCGGTTTCGTTTGTGCTGAACTACGAGTAAGATTGCTTTCCCTTGAACTCGTGGCATTGCTTTCATATACCACAAACTGACTCCTGATAGGGAGGGCGGTGAGCGCTGTATCTTGGACGGCGACAGTATCTCGGAGCCGTATCTGTGGGAAAAGGGTGCTTCGGGTGGACACCGTGAAAATGCGCGCTACCTTAATGCCGAGCAGGACTTCGAGTACGGGAGTCGTGCATCCTCATGGCGATTGATGCGCCTGTTCAAAGAGTTTGGCTGGAATTTTACCACATATGCGGTGGCAGTCGCCCTGAAGAAAAACCCTACATTTGCTAAAGCCTTGGTACGCGATGGCCATGAAATCGCTACTCATGGGTTGCGATGGAAGGACTTCTGGGACTTTAATCTCGAGGAGGATAAGGAATATGTGAAGGAGAGTTTGTTGATGTTGAAGGAGGTTACCGGCGAGATGCCTGTGGGAGCCTACTTTGGTCGTGGAACACCGCAAACGCATCACCTGTTCCCTGAAATATGGAAGGAGCTTGGTGCAGAGTTCCTTTGGTCGTCCGAGTGTTACAATGATGATGTTCCTTACTGGCTCGACCTGCCGTGGGAAGACCACCTGCCTAAGAACGAGCGGGAGGGCATGCTCCTGATTCCATACAATGTAAGTTCACCTTTTTCAATGTCCTCACATCCATGCGACGGTAACATATCCTAATACATTTGGCTAGTATGACTGCAACGACGGCAAGTTCCACATGTCTCCCGGGTTCGGCTCTAGCGTAGGCGAGAGCTATGAGAAGTACCTTAAGAACACATTCGACATGCTGTACCGCGAAGGCGGCAAGATGATGAACATTCCCTTGCATACCCGTATCATCGGCAAACCTGGTCGTTGTGAGGCGCTTCGCAATTTTATGAAATACGTCGCTGACAAGCCCGACGTTTGGGTGACGACCAGGCGGGATATCGCCAAGCACTTCCGGTCTACGTTCCCTTATCAACCAGATAGAAAATGGGTGGATGACGCCAGAAAGCAAGGATAAGGGCATACAACATGTATAATGGGTGTATATGTGCCGAAATAAGATAATGAAGAATATTGTTATACATCTTATCAATACAACTAAATTTCAGCATTCAAAAGTCAATACTCGAAAGAGAAAAAGATCATGATCATCATTAAATCGGATCAAATTTGCGGACATGGTCTTTCTCTTTATGGTAACTGCCATGCCTCCCAACTGGTATCCCCCAAACTTCCGTAACCTGGTATCCAAGATGTTTCCGCCGGGGGAGTGTTGGGATCTACCCAGGTGACAAGCTCATCCACAACCGCCATTGTATCAAACTCCATCCATCTGTCCTGTAACACCTGCAGTGCTGGGGGCATAGGCTCTCCTTGTGGTGGTCCGGGCTCTTCCATTGCCGGAAACCCGGCAACTACATTGCCACCACTCTGGGTGCCACCAAGCGGTGGGACTCCCGTGTTCTGCATGGGAACCTCCTCCATGATGTTTGAAATATCTCTAACGTCACATTCTTGTTGGGTCTCTAGCCTCTCCATGGTCATGGTCACCAGCGCCTCAAATGCGTCGCGGTATCGCCGGACCCATGGAGTTCTTTCGCCCATAACGAATAGAACGCTCGAGCAAGCTCGAATATTGTTGCTCAATCGCACACTCCAGACGCTTTTGTGTGTCCATAGGCAATATAGCATCATGATACCGGAGACAAAGACGGTCTGGACGGCGATAAAGCTATGTCCATACGCAGCGTTCTGGTGCAATTTCTTATGTAGTTGACAAATCTGACCCGCGGAATCTAAACAAGCTTTGAAATATGGATCGGAGCTTAGTAGGATAGAGAGGAAAGGTTGCATCAGGAGGCGAATAGCTCGGTGGTAATGGAGAAGTAGATAATCCGGTTTATTGTTGTTGTCCAGGCACACAGACCCAAGTAAGCTCTCCTTCCACTCCTGTAACTCTTGATAGTACCCTCTAACCTTTGGCAGAAGCTCTTGCAGGGTGCGGTCAATACGATATAGAGAATGATGAATGCGAGACTCAATTCTCCTGAGTCGGAACAGATGGATTACTTGCCGTAGCTTGTGATCATCCTCTCGCATCAGAGTGGGCATCTCGACATCAATTAATCGATCTGGCAGACTGACAGGATAGCCGAGTGCGATAGAAATGTTACGCTCGAGAGAATACACTGTCCAGAACAACTTCCGGCGCTTTTGAACAACAGCGGGGAGCAGGTCGACTTCGCGCCTTGAAAGATACATTCCCAAGTGAATGCAGGTACGCATGGCAAATCCGATGAGATACCATAGTTCTTGACTGATCGAGGAACGAAGGTGAAATATCACCAAAAGAACCATGGCCTCGATATTCTCTATCGATCGGGGCTCTCGCGCTACGGAGATATGCCGTATTGCCATCGCATAGAAAGCCTGGTTTGGTAGTTGGCTAACTATGCTTGATCGGGATAAAGGATTCTGGTATCACTGACCTCTGGTGTAGGTAAAGATGCTTGTTTCTCCGTCAAGGAAAGTAGACCAGACCCAACAGCGTACACGAGGTACAATTTGAACAGTCCAAACTGCTGACTGGCAGTCAGGGACTTCAGGCTAATATGAAAGAGAGTTTCCCTGTCTTGATGCCATTGCATGATCTCGTCTAGATCCAGGAACGAATACCTCGAGTCAACTCTCTCCGAGTATGTCTTGATCAGTCTTACACCCAGTTCATCTGATGGTAGCCCAGTGCCATTCACGCCGCTTTCTACAACATTTGTGAATGGGTAATTTCTCGCGGCAGAGCTTTCCAGGTGCTCCTCTGACATGCTGGTGTCACCGGTTGAACTACGATCAGTGGTCGCCGAGGCTTGAGAGACGTCACCGATATTAAGGGCAAGATGAAGTGCAAACTGGGAGAACTCCATTCCTGAAGATGTGTCGGGAAGAGAGAGGCAAAGCGAATTCGCTACGTCGGCAATGCTCATCTGCCCTGGCGTGCCACTCGAGGGAGTCCTGGCATCGGACCTCTCGGCCTGCGAAGGTTGGTGCTGCAGGAGTTGGATTTCCAGTTCCGCGACCTTATTTTCAAGAGCATGGATGTACCTAATTTGCCATCAGTACTTTCTCTGACAACAAACCGATAGATGCACGTACTTTGCGACGACCAAATCCTCGCCACGGACATTTTGCAAGTCGCAAGTGGCCCTTGATTTCGTACAGTTGGAACAGACGGGCAGCTGGCCATCACACTGCAAAATCAAATAATTAATACTGACGGGGCTTTAGTATCTTCGGGATGATAGTGTGATCTGCACACCTTCTGCTTTCGTGTCTTGCATCTCGAGCAAGCTGTCCGCCCGATGCCACGTTTGCGGCTCTGGGAAATTTGCCCCGCCATGGGGGACTCGGGTCCATCTGCAGGTGGAACTACGCCGGAGAAGTCCATGTAGAAGCGTAGATATTCAAGATCAGGAGAAACGGAGGGTCCGAAGGTACCTTATGGCAGTCAGCGGTCCAAACTCCGCACTCCACTTTCGCATTATCGAGGTCAAAGCGCGCGTTTTAATCTATTGTGTAATCTCTGCTCGTTAAGTGGGTTCCTGGCCATGGGGTAAGGGCTTTAATGATAATTATCTTATTGTAATTGGTTATTGCACTATTTCCTCTAAGTTGGCTGTATACGCCTCTCAAATTAGGCGCTTAGCGGAAGTTATACATTGCTCGCTGAGAAGGACCAGTTATATATTTTGTATCGGAGGTTCCGATCGGGGGATAAATCAATTAATCTCCGGCCAGTGACTGGAATTTCTATCTACTGTAACTAGCTGTTGCGATCAATAACTAAGGCAGTTGCACTTCTCGCAAATCCAGTAGAACCATTTCTCGCAAAGAAGCAAAAATGAGAGACAGCACCACCCCAGAGCCATACATGAAGCCTGCAACGCGGCTACGAAAGCTGCTATCTCAACCGGGCGTCTGCATCCAAGCCCCGGGGGTGTATGATGGTCTATGTGCCCGACTTGCTATAGAGCAAGGATTCCAAGTCATGGTATGACTCGAATTCAGCTGTGATCTCTCCAACCAAATGGCCAACTAACGTGACAATAGTACCAAGGCGGCTCTATGACCACGGCCGCACGTCTTGGAAGAGCAGATCTTGCTTTTGCGTCTCTCAACGACTTTGCGCAGAACGCGCAGATGATTGCTAACATTGACCCTCGAATCCCACTCATTGCTGACGCAGATGTCGGGTTTGGTTCACCGCCAAACATTGCCCGCATGGTACAGATGTATGACTCGTGTGGAGTTGCGGGCTTCCACATCGAGGACCAAGTTGCGAATAAACGATGTGGTCATTTGAAAGGCAAGGAAGTTGTGGACATAGAGTATGTCTTTTGTTTTGAGATCCCAGCCCAGAGTGGAAGCCCATACACTTACTGACATTGTTTTGCGTTCTCAGAACCTGGAAGTCAAGGATTCGTGCGTGCGTTATTGGGCGGGACTCTATATACGGTGGTAGTGATATATTGATAATTGCGAGGACGGACTCGCTGGCCGTTGAAGGATACCACGCTGCCATTGATAGAGTAAGTATGGTGCGTGAACATGGCTTGAGAAGAGTATACCTAAAGTTCTATCACAGCTCCTCGCGGCACGAGAATGCGGCGCTGATATGGGATTCTTGGAAGCAATTGAGACCGAAGAACAGATCAAGAATGCTGTGAAGGTTTTGGCCCCAATGCCTGTAAGTGGAGAACCTGTATGCCCTTCTTCATTGTTACAGCTTATTGATATTATTTAGCTCATGGTTAATTTGGTTTCCAACGGCAAGACACCGTGGTTCTCACCCGAAAAGCTGAGTGAGTGGGGAGTGAAGGTCAGTTTTCATACTATCAACTTCGCTCGTTGGGCTCCAGTCTAATACCAAAGTAGCTCGCTATCTACCCCGGAGCTGCGGGAAAGTCAGTTCTTCACACAATTCGCCGTGCCTATAAGTATCTTATGGAGACTGGTCAAGATGATGCAGAAGCACAAGGCTTAGATCCCAAGGGATTCTTTGACGTGATGGGATTGCAGAGGGAGATGGAAATTGATCGGCTTGCAGGAGGTGTATCATTCACAAATGGGGCATAGGCTCAAAAACCCAAAGCAGAATCTTTGAATCTTATTGAGCACTAGACAATCTCTCGCATATGTGGAAGCGACCTTTTCTTGATATTTACTTTGCATGCCGTTCTCTAAGTCGAGTACCTACATATAAAAACGCTGGTATAGATGATTTCGTATCAAAGTGCCATCGAAGTATTACCATTATTACGAATTTTGGTGCAGTGCTTTTTTACCACCATGGAGCAGGCCTCAGTATGATGAGTCAATCAAAGAGTGAAAAAGTGAATGAGAGCTTTACAGCAGGACATAGATTACCAAAAAAACTGAAAAAGGAAAAAGAGGGAAAACGTGAAGGGTTGTACAGTATCAGAGCAAAATAGAGTTCACAGTTAGTCGTGGTATATACATGAGACCACAAATTTCGAGCAGTCAATGATACAACCGATGTTCAACCCGCCGTGACAATCTTGATCATATCTTCTCGCGTCACGACCGGCTTGAAGCCTCTGGAAGGCATACCCATGGCCTCGGCTTGGCGCTTTTCATATCTGAGGAAGTCCTTGGTGATAGCACTACCCCGGACACCACCACGCACAGCCCCTGCCCTGGAATCACCCCAGTACTCGGCCCACTGAGGGGGCAAAGGTTGAGAGCTTGGAATAGAAAGCCACAGACGCATAAGATGACGCTTCTCGTCTGGCAGCTCATGATCCTCAAAAGGTGTGCGCGAATGCAGCGTTACAAAGCTGTTGAGCAGCTGCATATCACCGCGCTCTAGCTCCATAGTATAGCAGTACTCGTCAGATGGCATAATGGTATCCAAGAAATCAAGTGCCTCTACCTGCTGGGCTGTAAGCCGTGGCACGTCGGGGAAGTCGCGCTGCGCGGCGACGGTGTTTTTGCGGTTGGTGCGAGCACAGAAGTAGGCACCACTTCTTCCCATGAGCGGACAGCGGTAGTAAGGAGGTTGGGTTGCATCTTGGGTATTCTGGAAGCTGTGGAACCAGTTGTTGGACTCGAGCACAGGAAGCAAATCAGGGCGGAGCTCAGCGACGCGATCATGTAGCGCTATGCTGCTCATGACCTTGGAAGTCCCACCCTCCTTGGCGGTGCGACGGCATAGAAGAGCTACCACGTCGGCTGAATCCTGGTGGAAGTCAAGACCAGCGTTGGTGTTGTATCCACGGCCGCCTTTCACCTTGTAGCTGCCTCCTGCATCGCGTACGTCGTTGATGACCTCACTTGCGCGGTTCTGGGTGCGTCCAACACCAATATAAAGTCCCATGCCCCAGTAAGCGACACGCATATCTGCCTCAGACCATTCGTCGACTGGAAAGCCCTTCAAGAGGCACATGCCCCAGCGACCCTGGGTGGTAGCGATGGCATCCTCCAGCGCCTTCTTGGACGCTTCAGGGAGTGGATAGTCGGCTTGGGTCATATCAAGAAGAGGTTTAGGGTGCTCTTTGGCGTAGACAAGTGCAGTGTGGAAGCCTTCAATTTGCTCGAAGGTGAGACGCAAGATCCACGAGCTATCGCCCTCAACATCCTTCGTCTTCCATGCTTGGGGGTGGTTCCAATTGACATGTTGGACACAATCTAACAAAGTAAAGGGCGAAAAAATAAGTTTGAGGCTGGAATGATCGATGCAGAAATATCCTGGCTGTGCAATAGACCTAATAGACGATTTTATCCATCAAATCGCGATCTTTTCAATCATCAGCTGCAGTCTAGGATGTCTTTATTAGTGATTAGGAAAAAATTTCCATACATATTCCGAAGCCAAGCTTATATTCTCACACTACCTAGGCTTCAGGTCCTGCCTGCTGTGGGAGTTCTGTAACAGTATCGGAGGTTCCGTGTCTCCAAATTCCACGGACCCGGGCTAAATCGGAAGGTCATATAGAGTTTATCGGAGGCTCCGTGAGGTGGAGGTTTCCTGTGGATTGCCCAATAATCGCAGAGAGCCGAGCTCCCCCGCATTTTTCGTATCTAAGATTTCTAAGCTTCCTCGACTCTGATTGGACCTCGACGAATTAGCTTTGAGGTGTCCACGGGTTGTATCTCTCCCAATCTATATATGCAGTTTGTTTGTAAAAGCCCAGATTGTTGGGTCATGTTCACACCCTTGATAACAATTCAACACTGTAGATACTTGTTATAAGCTACGGAAACCGAATGTTAGAAGCTGGGCATTTATTTTTGACATAAATCTCGACTGATCGCATCTCCCTACTCGTGCAGAAATTGGCTGAGATTGTGAACATGATGACTTGGAATACACAGGCTAAGAAAGCCTTCAGCTCTCCAGCGGCTTTTCGAAAGGCCATCGAAACAAAAGACGTTGACGGAGAGAAAGCCGCTTACAATGAGGATCTACTTCCAACTGAACCTGGCAAGTCTCTGTCTCCAAATGCTCAGATTAAGGGGCCGATATTCTAACAATGTATTACAGAACGACGATCCTGGAGATGGATCCATTACTTTACATACTACCTGACAACATCTTTTTCGCCCACGAGCTATAATCTCGGTGCCTCTTTAGCTACCATTGGTCTGGTGCGTTAAGACGAATTTCCAGAGGCCACATATCACCGTTCAGCCATTCTAATAAAATATTCAGACGTGGTGGCATACCCTCATTGCTGCAGTGATAGGCTCGATTTTCCTATCAATAATTGTCGTTCTCAATTCGCGTGGTGCGACACAATACCATGTTGGATTCCCCGTCATCGGCACTGCTGCTGGTGGTCCACGGGGCGCCAAGTTCTTCATTTTCATTCGCGGTGCGGTGGCTGTCATCTACTTCTCCACAAATCTCTATTATGGTGGAATGTTGATGGCAATCCTGCTGCGATGTATATTCGGCTCGGCGTGGGACAACATACCTAATCTTCTCCCTCTCAGTGCTGGTATCACTAGCGCAAATCTGCTGGCCTTCTTTATCTTCTGGTTCTTCCAGATGGGCCTGATGTTCGTGCACCCCATCGTTCTGAGACATATTTTCGTCGTCAAGGCCTTCTACAGCACCATCGCTCTGGTGGCAGTTCTGGGCTGGGCTGTACATCAGAATCATGGCTCGCTCGGTAGCTTTCACTTTGAGGGACAGGCTGTTCTTTCCGGCTTGCAACTTGTCTGGCCCATGATCTCGGCTATAAACTCTATCTGTGCTGCGCTATGTCCCATTCTTATCAATCAGCCCGATATTGCGCGATATGCACAAAGACCATCTCAGGCCACTTGGTCTCAAATTTCGGGGATCTTCATCAGCAAAATTATGATCATGTTCCTCAGTGCTGCAACTACCAGTGCTACACAAGGATTTCTGGGTACATCCTACTGGAATGTGTGGGATCTTTACAATGCCATATTAACCACCTATTGGGGCCCAGGTGCTCGTGCTGGCGTTCTCTTTGCGTGCCTCGTAAGTTGCTCTAAATTTTATCTTATCCTTTTTGTTACGGTTACTGACTCCCCACAGGGAATGGTTCTTGCTATCCTGGCTTCCAACGCTGGCACCAATGCACTCCCCGCGGGCGCTGATATGAGCGGTCTTCTACCTCGGTATATCAACATTGTTCGTGGACAGATTATTTGTGGCATCTTAGGCCCTTTGTTATTTCCCTGGAAAATCATTGCCGACGCAAAGAGCTTCCTGACTTTCCTGTCATCATATACTGTCTTCTTGATGCCCATATGCGGTATTATGGTGGTCGACTACTGGCTTGTTCGCCGGGGTAATTTGCATGTTCCGTCATTGTACAGCCGGGAGGCAGGGACTCCCTATACATACTGGAAGGGTTGGAACCTTCGTGCCATCGTGGCCTGGCTTTCCGGGACCGCATTCGTCATCCACGGTGTCGCTGGGGCCTTGGAACCTAGCCTGACGAATCAGGCCAGTAAGGACATGTACAAACTTGGATTCCTGCTGAGCTTCCTCGTTGGCTCAATAGTTTACTATGCTGCCTGCTTGATCTTTCCCGTGCCTATATATCCCGAGGGAAAAGAGGGCATGCCCAAGACTTGGGAGTATATGGCGGGCTCTGAGGGCTTCTTTGAGGGAGAGAGCGTTGATACTATCAGACTCAACCACGGTGCGATCACTGGAATTAAGCTCGATGGAGGGACTGAGAAGGATTTCTCCCTTACATCGGAGAAGGAGATTGTTTAGGCCTTTCAATTATGTATTTAATTGTCCGTTAGTTGTGCTCAAGATACTTAGAATACTGTGTACAGGGAACAGAATATACGAATGTGAAGGCTATCACAGTTAATTTTCAATATATTAGGAACAATAATACCTATTGTGTGCTCAAGACTCAAGTCTAGCATTTCTAGGGTAACAGAGGAAGGAATCCCCTAATGCAATCAATGCAAATATGCTACAAAATGAAAATCAACCGGCGACCAGCCGCCGGACATTTTGCTTCCACCGCATGAGCCCCGGGGGAGGTCATGAGACGGCGATAGAATCGGGTGTCGAAGACATTAAGTGTGCTGTATCGTGTCATCTTGTATGGTTGTGGCCCTTTTGTGATCTTGACAGACGGCGTAACCCAGAAGCTCGAGGAGGTATCGTTCACGGTGTGTGAATACGTGAACACCGGTCGTTCGCAGAAACTGCTTCGCGTGCTCCAGGATGAGATCTAGATGACTGGGAGGAAGGCGGAAGAGGGCGTCAAGGGAGATGGTGATTTGATCAGGAGATGCGTTTAGAGATGGAAATGCGGCAAGCAGATGGCGGGTGCTTTTATCGCAGGCAAGGGATTCGCAGTATGTTTCGAGCATGTTTTCACGGACAATGAATTGAAAAATTGAGTCCAAGGAGTCAGGCTGAACAATGGCCTGCGGAAGCGAATGTTCAGGGTCGGCGAGAGCTCGCTGCATTACAATCACGTATTGCAGTTCCTCAATGAGCGGTGTCACCTGTATTTCTGTTGGTGATGTATGCCCAAGGAGTGGGCGATCGTAACCCAGCTTTTTCCGCCAGAAATAGTTGCACATGACTAGAGAAATGATACACGGAATCAGGACAACGTATCCCCACCAACGCTCGGCAGTGACCATCGAAGCAGCACCAGCAACAAGACCATTTAACCCGTTTACACCGGCGTGCCATTGGAAGCGGCGGACCCGAGTATGTAGACGGCGACGGATATCATCACTAGGCTCGCGCGCAAAAGCAGCAATGTCGTGCATATAGAATCGATAAAAGAGATACCCAGACCAGACGGCATTGACAAGGCCAAATATCGCAGCTAGGCTATTCCCAATGTACCCAGAAAGCAGATTGCTGGCTTTGTAGACGTGGGGATTGGCGCCGCCAATGGCCATCAAAGTGCCAACGCCGACCAGCAGCGAGCCGAATCCCATCAATACATCCATCACAATCCGGTCAATCACTTCGGTGCCAATTTCACGCACCCCGACCCCAAGTCGGCTGTCAATGAGCCGGGCCAACTCTGCATTCTTGTCGTGGTATTGCCGCAGACGCTGCAGATGATCCCGCTCTGCGCGCAGCAGCTTGACATTTGTCCAGCTCAGTCGAAAGTCATAAATAACAACCAACACCATTCCCAAGGCCAGTGTACCTCCAATTCCCATGAGCACAGCGGCAAATCTCGGAACGGGAATCTGGTTCCAGACGTTGGCAGCAAAGTCGCCCGCGTTAGCTAGCTCGAGGTACCCGACACTGGCGAGCAAGCTGTTCTTGAATTGCTGCTGGTGCAGTAGGCGATATCGACCACCTCGTCGGACTAGCGCAACCTGACCTTTTTTTGATTCCAGGGATTCCAGCCATGTGATGTCACTAGCTTCGCGAAGCAGTTTCGGGACCACGGGTGGTGGGGATTCGGTCGGTGATAGCAAGTCCATCTCCATGGCTATGCTCGTGGAATCGGGGTTCAACTGTGAAACACGTACGGGAGATGGAGGAGTGATTAGAGTGTCAGACGAGTCGGTAGGGGTCACCATTGTAAAAGTCGTGTGCGGGTGACCGGGTGACCGTAGAAAGGAGAAGTTCACACGACGCTATCCATGCCGTTGCTCTGTACAACCAGGTTCAGAGGGTTGGATGGAAATTAAATATTGAGGGGAGAAGGAAAGCCCGAGTAAGAGGCAGAGAGACAAAGAGACAAAGAGAAGGAAAAAAAGACACGCAAGCGGGTAAGACCAGGGAATCACCCGGGGTCTTCAAGGGTTAGAGGTGGATACACCCGCCTTGGCGTAGCCCTATAGGGCTGAGATATGCTTTTTGCAGGGACAGTACGTCCACAGGTGTACAATAACATTCCAGTATATTGTACGCACGGTACGTATGAATAAATTAATTAGTGGAAATGAGTCCCCACAGGTTTGATCCCTCCAGGCTATTAAGGCTTGTATTACCAGGCGCTATGGCCAAGCGAGCGATCTAGCGATCTATACATAGAAAATCCCAGGCAGCAGGGTAATAGAAACTGAAAATACGCTCTAAAAATATATCGGTCTGATAATATCTATGCCTCTTTAGAAGATTTAGCCCCATTTCCTGCTTTGGATGTGCTTAATGCGCGAATTAGCTTGACGCCTGCGTCTGCCATGTCCCCTGAACGCGCGCTCCAGAACTGGGCCTCACGGTCGGACCCACGAAGCACATCATTTCCCGGTTGCTCTTTGGTCGGAGATGGACTCTCGTCGCTCGAGGGGTCTTTTTCATTCGAGCTGTATACATTGACCCGTTCGTTGAAACGCACCCGGTGCCGGGTCCGACCGTTTGGCGAGCCCTGGGAGCCCTGGGAGCCGGAACTGGGGGAGGAGTTTCTCGCCAGACTGGCAGCAAGATAATTCTTGCGTACTGCATACCGGCTAGCCTCTTCTCTTCGGATTGAGTCCGAAAAAATCTTCTCGAGGGCTGTAGAGGCAGTGAATCGCATCCCCAGGTAGACCTGCTCGGCAACGAACAACGTCAATAAAAGCGAGGAAAGTCGTACCTCGGAAATAGGACCTCGGTAGACATGCACAATAGCTGCTGTGGATAGGGTTCCCAGCCAAGCCAAGAAATCCAGCCCCAGTAGACATGGGCCGATCGAGTCCGACCGGATTGGTGGTGGTCGTTGGCATTCCAGCGTGAGCTTGAAGAAGTCACCTCGCAGCTCCAGCCAGTTGTTCAGCAGGAACCCAAGCGGCACAAGTGGCCAGGCAACTCCAAATAATGCGAGATAGCCAAACTGTACACACATCTCCATAATATCCTCCTCCACATGGTATTCCTCTGCGCCAGCCTCGCTACGCAGTCTTGTCATAAATGCAGCTTCGTCGGGCGGGTCAACCAAGAACAAGTCGGTTGCTGTGGAATATTTTCTCCTGCGGCTGTATTCCTCCTTTCGATGCTGATAGTTTTGCCACTTCTGCCTCAAGACATGCTTCACATATGGTAGGACGACCTCCTCGCCGAAGCTAAGTACCTGAGCTGTCATAGAGAGATAAATCACCTCCTGCTGGAATCGACTTGTATCAACCTCGAATTCCTTCTGTCCGCTGACCAAGTCGGCCATAAACCCCGTTCTTCGGAGGATGTCGAGCTTGGGAATGATTTGTTTGCCGAAGGGAACATAGACATAGGCGGTCAATATCGTGGGGAGGAAAGAGGTGATGAAATTCATGACGAAACTCTTTTGAGTCTGGGCAAGATCATATTGGTCTTGCGTTCGGTAGTTCTCGTACTCGGTCAAACGGGTTGCGATACTCGTGAGAAACGAGGTTATGGCGGGCAAGGATAGCGAAAACAGGACAGTCGGTACGAATTCCAGATACCCCTTGAATGGACCGTCGTATACCTCTGATATGAACACCTCCGATGCGAAGGACGCAACAATCAAGGCTCCGAGGGCCACGCTCGCAACGGAAGCAAAAGGAACCAGAAGCAGCTGGCGTGTGAACTGCTTCCAACCTGGGAAAACATGTTTCACCTGACCACTGATTGGGTCCTTGACCTCTTTCTCCCACACATACTGTTTGCGATTCACCTTCAGTCTTCCAACGCCTTTGACATCCCATCTCTGACTTAAATCGGCCTCTCGAACTTTCCAGTATTCGACAAACACAATGCACCAGGCGCAAAGTACGGTTCCATATACAATTGAATATGGACCTAGATATAGCCATCCCAGAATTCCCAATCCTGCAGGCACCACGAGGAATAGCGAATAGCAATGAATAAAAGCGTAGTAGAAAGCGACCTGCACAGGGTTAGCTGTTTGTTACAACATCACTATATAACCAAAGACCGGTGGAACTGGAACAATACCTTCTCGCCAAATAAGGCTCGAATCGCATCCAGGTCGCTAGTCGTCAACACTGTTTTCCGATTCCATTGACGTAGCATTTCCGCACAGGCCTCCTGGTCGTGTAACGGAAATGAGGCAGTGACATTCTCCCATTTTCCAAAACCTGGCGTGATGCCTGCGCCTCCTATTTTCTTTTGCCAGGTGACAGCGTGGTATACGGAACGGATCTCTTCGGATGGTGTATCGGCGTCAGCAATTGCTGTTTCGTCGCCGTCGGGTAAGGTATGTGTAATCCCAAACAACCAATCTTTAATTCTGTGACGTGTCAATTAGCTGTCCAAGGGAAAGAAAACCTCCAATTGAAGACCACGCAAATGCCACTTACCTTGATTGATGTACTAGATTCCCCAAATGATCCCGCGGAACCCGAATGCAAACTAATAGCGCTTGACCGTGGCCGTGACGAACCTGAACCCGAAGACCAGCCTCGTTCAGGTCGTTGATAAGCGTTCGAAATTCTGTAATCGCTTGAGCTTGGTCTAGTGATCGTCAGTATATGCAGAAGGTCAAGGATATCCCATGTAAGCACGTTATTTACCGATTTCTCCAAACTCATATTGTAGTACCCAATCCACGCCCAGGTTGTCGTTATCGTCTTCATCGCTATTTCCATACCCCGCAAGCCAAGACATGTTGGGGAAGCTAGGGACCTGTTAAGAGAGCAGTTGAAGGGTAGACGGGATAAAGGAAGGATAAAGGTTCATGTTACATCAGAAGTTGGAAGGGAAAATGTGGGGGAAGATTACCTTGTCTAGTATTCTTCTATTTTCTTCTATTCTGGTTCCACTCGACAGGGGGGAAATACAAGGCGGTACAAAGTATGCATCATCTTTACCCATGGAGA